GTCCTCGATCTTGTCGGTGATGAGTTTTGTCGGGCGCCGAGCTTCGACGGTCGGACTCGCGGGGGGGATGCACACACATACACACGCACAACAAGACACAACGAGGCGGGCTTGGACGAGAATGGGCATGTGCTTCGGCGTCATATCCTGCTATCGTGGTAGCACTCCCAGACGTCGATACCTGCAGAAAGGACCTTCCAGATACACTCTCTCCTGCGAGGTGGGAATTGATCCATCGCCACCGCCTGGGGGATCGTCCTTCGGGGACCTAAGCGGGCGGTGGATATGTACGACTTAAAATGATAAATACTCTGCCCTCCCCCCAAGGGACCGAACATATCTACGTCCACCACCGACCGACATCCCCGAATATCGATCCCCCCGGGCGGCGGCTACGGATACACCCCCGCCTCGGATCTCCTGAGCACCAGAGCACGGACGTGGCGCGCTCAGCTCAGACATGGGAGGGAGGGAGGGAGGGCGGATGATGATGATCATCATCATCATCATCATAATCATCATCACCACCACCACCATCGTCATCGTCATCATCATCATCATCATCATCATCATCATCATCATCATCATCATCATCATCATCATCATCATCATCATCATCATCATCATCATCATCATCATCATCATCATCATCATCATCATCGTCATCGTCATCGTCATCATCATCATGGATGACGATGGATGATGATGCTGATGATGATGCGAATGATGATACTAATGATGATGAGGATAATGATGGTGATGGCTGATGATGGTTGATAATGATGATGATGATGAGGAGGAGGAGGAGGAGGAGAAGAGGGTGAGGAGTAGGAGGAGAAGAGGGTGAGGAGGAGGAGGAGGAGAGGAGGAGGAGGAGGCTCCCGATTGACAAATCGGGCACGCGCATGATGCTCTCGCCGAGACTGCAGCTGGCCCGGCACCTCGCCCGCGCCATGAGGCCCACAGAGCCTGCTCTCGCGAGGGCCCAGTGAGCCCCACGGTTATGTGCATATACACACATGTACATGTCTACATATGTTAGCCCGCGGGGACCCCAAACAGCAGTTTCTTGCAAGCAGCGGGCTGCAATCTGGGTGGTGCAGTCCGTGTGGTGCTTGTGTGGTGCAAACTATGTGGCGCACAGCAATGCACAGCAATGCGAAGCGATCCAAAGTGGTGCAAAGCGGTGCAAAGCAATGCACAACAATGAAATGCAGAGCAGTGCAAAGCTTGCGATGCGAACAAGGGGGAACAACGGGGAGGGAGGGTGGCAACGGGGTGGCGGCAGCGACGGACGGGATCGGGGCCGCCGGGCCAACAGACGGGCCTCTCACTGGGAACACAGAAGCTGCGGCGGACGGGGACGGGGCCGCAGAGCCAACGGACGGGCCCAGTTCCTCAGAAGCGAAATGAGAACCCGCAAGTGCAAGCACTGTTTGGGAAATGCGTGGGTGGTACGAGGTGCGGAGCGACCGCCGGTCCGGGCCGGTACGAAATCCCCAGGATGCTCGAACACCCCTTGGACTCGTGGAACCCCCAGCAGTGTGTGGGAGCGCCCAGGGGGCGATTGCGAGCGACTGCGGCGTCTGAGAGCTGGGGGTCGCCTCTCTTCCCAGGGCTCCTCTGGAGGAGGAAATAAAGAGGAGAGCCGATGGGTGCAAAACAACCAACCAGAGTGGAGAGGAGTGCCTAGGAGTGCCCGGGGGTGGCGAGGAATAATCCAGTCCAACAACCAAACAAAACAGCTAAAGTTCAGCAAATTCAATGTGAGGTGTCACCGGCACAACCAGACCACAACAACATAAAGCCCCCTACAGTGACGCATCCTGATACTTGAAACACGAATGCAGCATCAAATCCACTGTTGACAGGGCGTGATGGCATCAGGCTGGCCGCAAGGAGCGCACAGGATCACACACCTGCCCACTCACTTCACCCCGTGCGGACGCCACACTGCGCCACATCCTGAGCCATCAGGGAGACCCACCCCACGCGGACACCCCACTAGGGGGCCACATGAGAACCCTACCCCTACCCCCCACGATTTCTGAGGGGCAGGGTGGGGTTCACTTCGCTCGGGAGCTCCCGCACGGAGTGAACCCCACCCTCCCCCTCAGAAATCGTGGGGGGTAGGGGTAGGGTTCGCAGGTGGCCCCCTACCCACAGATCCAACCCCCCCACGCGCACAGCGAGGCCCACCCCCCACCCCTGGGGGGATGGTCCTTTTCTGATCGTCGGCGGCACTGGGGGCGCGCCCCGATGCACTGGGCACGAAAACCCTCAGGAGGAGGAGGAGGCGGAGGCGGAGGCGGAGGAGGAGGAGGAGGAGGAGGAGGAGGAGGAGGAGGAGGAGGAGGAGGAGGAGGAGGGAGGAGGAGGAGGATGAGGAGGAGGAGGAGGAGGAGGAGGAGTTGGAGGAGGAGGAGGAGGAGGAGGAGGAGGAGGAGGAGGAGGAGGAGGAGGAGGAGGAGGAGGGAGGGGAGGAGGGAGGAGGAGGAGGGAGGAGGAGGAGGGGGAGGGGCTCTTGTCGTCGGCGGCCCCTGGCGCGGCCAGCTCGAGAGACACCCCCCGGGAGGAGGGGCGGCGTCCGCGCCGCCCGGCACCGCGCTCACGCACTCTTAACCGCGGTGCAGCTGCGGATGCCCCAGGCAGCGCTCTGCCCTCAGGGGTTCTTGCCTTCTGGATTTCTGGATTTCTGCCATTCTGGACACGTTCTGGACTTCCGGGCCGGGTCTCCTGGACTTCTGGGCATCCTGGACTCCTGCCACGTCGTCGCCTCCTGGCTGGGTGTTCTGGCTTTCCTACCTCTCGGCTGGGTGTTCTGGACTTCTGCCCTCGGGGGTTCTTAATTGCCTTCCTTCGTGAACCTCTTGGCTGGGTAGTCTGGACTTCTGCCCTCAGGGGTTCTTCGTTGCCTTCCTTCGTGAACCGCCTGGCTGGGTACTCTGGACGTCTGCCGCGCCGCCGCCGCCGCCCGTGCCGCCCCGTGGGCGCCCCGCGCCCAAAGGGGGGGTAGGTCCAGTCATCGGCCTGACCTGAGGAACGATAAATAAGGAACGAATGCCCTTTTTTATCCAAGGAAGAACGCAGAAGGAACGATCAATGATACATAATCCACCAGGAGCGATAAATAACGCATGCAAGCCTGAGGAACGACCGAGCCCCTTTTGACAAGTAAGTGTTCCTTATTCAAGCCGCTCACTGTATACCGAGGTCGGCCACACGCAGGAGGGACCTCAGGGCAGGAGTGGCCTCTGGTGCGCGGCTTCTTTGGAGGCCGCAGGGGACCCGGACCCGAGCACGCAAGGCGCTACCACGGTAGAGGGAAACAATTACTGAACACTCCCCCTCCCCCCCAAACTCAACGTTGGCACGCGCGGGAGAGACTGCGGTCGAAGTGCATCTCAGCAGAACCACCGCCAACTTTGAACATTGGGGGGAGGGGGAGGCGTGGACGGATGAATGTGGCATGTGTTCGCCAATTTGTTCCGAGGCCTCTGCCGCTTCGCGTTCGGCGAACGGGGGACCCCAACGGACGCGCACCAAGAGGTCACTCCGGCGAAGGGCCACTCTCACGTCTAACCCGCCATCGCTCGGACGTCCACTCCTCGTGCGCTCTGGTGCGCGGCTTTTTTGGAGGCCGCGGGGGACCCGGACCCGAGCACGCAGCGCGCTGCAGGGCAATGTTTAATACCGAGGATGTTGAAAAGCATAGGATGTTTAATCCATGATCGATGTATGAACAGAGTTATGCATGAACTCCTCGCTGTCTTTAATACTGAAGCCCTGCATTTTTAATACATGATCCGCACGCGGAGCATGTATTAAAAACGGCACTGTACTGCCGCGTTCGGCGAACGGGGGACCCCAACGGACCCGCAGCAAGAGGTCACTCTGGCGGAGGGCCACTCTCACGTCTAACTCGCCATCGCTCGGACGTCCATTCCTCGTGCATCTCTCGACCTCGTGCGTGTTTTTTTTGCCCGATGGTCCAGGATGGTCCTCGATGGCTCTCGCCGAGAAAAAAATGCGAACGTCCGAGCGAGGAGGAGGAGGAGGAGGAGGAGGAGGATGAGGAGGAGAGGAGGAGGAGGAGGAGGAGGAGGGAGAGGAGGAGGAGGAGGAGGAGGAGGAGGAGGAGAGAGGAGGAGAGGAGGAGGAGGAGGAGGAGGAGGAGGAGGAGGAGGAGGGACAAAAAAGGCGCACGTCCGAGCGATGCCAGGCTGACCGGCGAGGTTCCGCCCCGCGCCGCCGCCCGGTGCCGGCTCGCGGGCGCCGCGCGGGCGCACCGCGCGCCGCGGGCGGGTGGCTGCCCGAGGCGGCGCCCGCGCTGGCGCCCCGCTGCCGTCGCGCGGGCGGCCTCGTGGGCGCCCCGTGCTCTGGGCGTGCACCCTGCGAAATGCTTAAGAAATCATGGGTTAGGAAAGTCAAAGCCTCAGAGCTTGAATAAAAACACTACATTTCTAATACATTTTTAGGATTTACATTGAAACAGTAAGAATAATCGAGACTCTGGCCGAAACCTTCCGTTTTCTTGAGCATCGCCTAGGGCGTACACGGCGGAGCTCTCGTCACGAAGCGTAACACCGCACAGCTTACGCCACTCACCAGCGCTCGGACGTCCCTTCCCTGTGTTTTTGTTATGTTTCGTGCGTGGTTTTTCTCGCCAAATGATCGAGGATGCTCCTCAATGGTCCTCGCCGAAGGAAATATGCACACGTCCGAGCGATGCCAAGACCACACTGCTTACGCGGCAGGTCTCACCCAACACGGCTGGCATCCCGTAGCTGACGCCCCGTAGAGTTCGCCTCGAGCCCACGCCGCACGGCTTGCACGGCACAGCTTGCAGCACATAGCTTGCACCACAGAATTGCCACCTCCATATCTCACACCACGTGGCTTACACGGCATAGCTTTGTCAAACAGCTGACACCGCAAAGTGTTCACCTCCATAGCTCACACCACACAGCTTACACGACATAGCTTTCGCCACACAGCTCGCCACACAGCTTACACCGCATAGCTTACACCGCAGTAGCTCACCACACATAGCGT